GGGAACGTGTTTACCAAGCCATTGCCTAGCAACGACACGGAGATACACTTACAAACACAGATTAATGGAAGGTATTTATGAAGTATGCCGCCGAAATGGGCTCAGGTGCCATGAAATACATACCAAATTTCAATTAGATTTGTTCAAGCATTCAGATGGTGATCTCATACGTCTAGATTTATTGTTTTCCAAAATAAGGAAAGTAGGCTAAAACAGCCAACCCCAGGGCCATAATGCGGCTTTAAGAATTGGTAGGTACACTGAAAAATCCAATGAACTTATCGGGAATCGAACACGCGACCTGCCGGATTGTAGCACAGTGCCTCAACGAAGTACACCACTGCGTGCCCCTCTGATTAAAATGAGACTTCAGTAAGGAGATATCTATGCTAATGTCGGCAAGTCAGACTGTGTACCATCGAAAGAAACACAAATACAAAATGGGAATAAAAAGTTAACATACTGGCTCACGAATTTTGCTAGGCGCGTTCGCATGGAATATATTACCACCATCTTCAAGGTCCCAGAGTAAGCAGAGCTTTCTTTTTGCTTCCCCTTCGATGCCAAGGATAGAGGCAACATGTTCCATTGAAATATCGGTGAACTTCTATGGGAGTACACAACGTCACATCGAAGTATTCATTCCTCCGTCCCTAACTTGTTTATTACTAGACGACTGACTTCTGTCTAAACGGCTGTACCATGCATGATGTTCACATATGCGCACCCGGGGCTCCGTCTTACCGTGAGAAAACATGAATATCATTAGCTCGCTAAGCTATTGTGTCGTGTAGTAACGTTTCCGGCCACTCATCTCAATTGGTGCAGTTGCTGCGCCGTCGTAAAATAATTTTCGAAGGGACCGCGCGAAACGAAGGGAGTACGACCCAGCAGCCCCTCGAGACCGGGAATTTGCTCTTGTAAAGCGAACCTTCGAGCATAGCTATGAAGGTTGTGCCAATCTCCTGAAACAAAATTTCGTGTAAACTACAGGATGACCAAGTAAACCCACGAAACCGCTCAGTCCGCTCTTCTTCATGCATGACCCTCGTGACACGGCCACTATCACTTTGAATAGCGCCAACTCGTGCACAAAACCAAGTGTGCAGTAAAGAGCACAGGATCAGCACATGCCCATTCACCAGCAACACGTTGCTATTAATGTTAATCATATTATTAAAATTGATCTTAAAGAGATATATGTAAACTGGACCGAATAATGCGCTCTACAAATAGATGCGAAAATGCATACACTGGAAATAAATATTTTTACAGACAAAAACTCTTCAGTAGCACCTATTAATATGGCTAAAAAGCATTTAGTTGGTTATTTAATGACTCTGTCAGTATCAAGACTATACATATGGTGCCCATGATAGGGGGGGAAGTTGATGAAATGACAATTGGCATGGGAAACCAAAGTATTTGGTGAAAATTCATCCCCTATGCCACTTTGCCCCCCACCCCACAAATTGCCACATGCCGCCAAGATGGGAAGCCGGCGCCTACCCAACCACCTGAGACATGGCATGGCCCATGAAGAAGTCTTTTTGTTCTCTGGGCTCTAGTCAGTATCTGAAGTCACTGGCCCCTCTGCAATTCTAGTAGGAAAATCAATCACTGTCACATGCATTTGGCTTTGCTGCTTGTATAAGCAGATATATATATATATATAAATCTCTAATATAACTTCAAATAAAATTCTTTAGGCTGGCTTTGTTATGCATTCAAGTGAAGAAAATTAATGCATAATTTGAGGTAACGTTTTTTTTTCTTCATTCTTGAAACTACGAAAAGGACTGTGATCAAACTTGTATCAGCTACACAGAATACTAATATATTTATTGTAACTGTTCCTCATAGACATGATTTACAAGTATCTTCCTGTGTAAATAAGGAAAATGAGGTATTCAATAGCTCAAGCGGTTAGTTACTGGCTTCCCACCACGGCGGCCCGGGTTCGATCCCGGGTCTGGTCNCGTTTCTGGCAGAGAAAAGATGTCTATACTTCTAGGGCAAAATATAAGAGCACTTATGGTAGTGCATAAAGAGGGCCGCACCATAGCTCAAGTGGTTGTTGTTGTTGTTGTTTATTGGAGAGGGTGGGTTTCCCCATGCACTTAGACCAAATATTGGTCCACTGTGCGTCCCCTATGATATTCTACCAGTCTCTATACCCTACCGGTACTGGTGCGTCCAATCAGTCCCGACTCAGCCAGCGAGTTCGGCATCTACTGGCTCAGCGGTATCTCGATGCTTCCCCCATCTACCAGAGGCATTAGAGACTACTGTTGGGAGGGAAATGTCCTGAATTTGGCTCAGAGGTCCCCTTGAGACATGAGGTTCTTTTACTTGCCGTAAAGCTACGACACGGGACCCACGGCTTAAAGTCCCTCCGGGAGGACTTGTTCCTTGAATTTTTCCGCCCTTAAAAATTCTACGACCTCCGCCGGGTTTGAACCCGCATACCTTGAGTCACGAAGTGAGAAAGTTACCCCTAGACTACGGAGGCCGCTTAGCTCAAGTGGTTGGTCGCTGGCTTCCCACCATGGCGGCCCGGGTTCGATCCCGGGTCTGGTCAAGTGGGATTTGTGGTGGACAAAGTGGCGCTGGGGCAGGTTTTCTCCGAGTACTTCGGTTTCCCCTGCCAATCTTCATTCCACCAATTGCTCCACAATCACCCTCAACTATCATCTGGGGCTGGCACAATAGGCCAGAAGTGGCCACAGTACAAGGGACTTAGTCCCACCCCACTAGCATTAAAAAAGAAAGCATAAAGAGCCTCCCAATATGTTAAAATGGGAAGAAGTTTACGAAGATTTAAATCAGGTAGAGGTAAAGACTCTTGTAAATGAGAAAAATAGTGAAATTGCTAATAAGGAAGCTAGAGTATCAAAGAGACAAAAAAGTAACCCGGTAAATAGAAATATAGATTTTTTATGGGTGATGAGCTAATGGATAATCAGATCATATCAAATACATCACTGAAAGTTTTTCATCAAAGTATCAGAGGATTAAGAAATAAACTAAGCGAACTTTATTGTCATTTATCCCATGATCCACCAAATATTTGTATGTATGTCTGAAATCTTGCTGTCCAAACTTAAATTTTATGGTATTAATGGGAAAGATCATGCACTTTATGAATCTTATTTAAGTAACAGATATATTAGAACAGTAATATATAAAAGTGATATGAATTCAGTATCCTCAGATTGGCTTAGTGTTAGACAGGGAGTGCCACAAAGGTCTGTATTAGGACCTTTGTTGTTTCTCTTATATATAAATGACTTGCCTAAAATATTAAATAAATTTCCTACTCCTATAATTTTTGCTGATGCTACTAGCATCTTATTTTCACATTCCAATATAAATGATCTTAGCAGGAATATTCTTATAATAATTGAAATCATAAATGGATGGTTTAGAGCTAATAAAGTATCTTTAAATTTTAAAAGACACATTCTATTCAATTTAAAACTAAGACAGTAATGTCAGATACTTTTACAATAAATTATGATAATAACTTTATTAACAGTACCCTCATTACTACATTCTTGCGAGTTATAGTTGATAGTGCCTTAACATGGAAGAATCACACTGATTTACTTGTAAAAAAATTAAGTAAGGCTTGCTACGTAATTAGAAATATGAAATATTACATGTCTACTTCAGCTTTAAAGGTGATTTATTATTCCTTTTTTCACTCATTAATGAGCTATGGCATCATCTTTTGGGGAACTCATCTCATAGTTCTGCTATTTTTCTTCTCAAAAAAAAAAGGCTATCAGAGCAATGCTGGGATATGGCAATAGAGTTTCGTGTAGAAATATATTTAAAGAGTTAAAATATTTTATCATTTGCATCACAATTATTTTTGTTGTTAGTATTTGTATTGCAAAATAAAGTTCTTTTTCCATCAAACATTGATTCTCATACTACTGATACTAGACAAAGACTAAGATTTGTATTTACCTCAAGCTAATTTAACTATTTATCAAAAAGGAGTTTTTATGCGGGTATAAAAATATTCAATAAATAGCCCATAGAGATCAAGAACACATCCAATAATTTTTAAAAGTTTAAGGTTGTATTAGGGCATTTCTTGAATAATCATGCGTTTTATACCGTGGATGAATATCTAAATAGATAATTATTATTATTGTTGTATTCGCTGTACTGTCTAGTTGTGTAATATTTATGTATGTATTCTGTGCTCTATGTTATTTTGTGACATGTTCTATATCCATCTTTGGATCTCTTGAACTTACAATAAATACAATATAAATAAAAGATACTAGGAGTAGGGGAGGGAGGGTTATGCCAAATCCTGCTGCTACACGAATTTCATTCTGGCACACCTGCCCAATTTAACACTGGCTAATATATAAAATCCATACATTTCTTTTATCATTTTTTTCAAAAGTGGATCATGATGCTAAAAATTGGTACAAGACAAAACTACAACCCTGATTACATTATAATTTCACAAATTTTTCAATGCAGTGCACATCAAACAAGAAATACTGTATTTGATGATGATTCTGTGCACAAAAAGTGTTTTAAAAAATACAGGTAGTCCAATAATGTGTACAGAATTTTCCAGTTTTGTTCCAATGACGAACTAAAGTGAGCCAAAAATGAACGGGGTAATTGTGGCTGATTTGTTGTGTCACCTTGTTTGATGAAGTAATTAAAAGATAATAAAATGGCATCTGCTAGTATTGGTGCGCCTGGAGAACAACGTGGCTTTGCGCTCATACATATATATATTCCTCATTAAAAAAAACATGCAGTGAAAAATTTCTTGATGTTATTTTTCTTGACCGTAAGGACGTGCTGCATCAACCGTACACGTGTCAAGGCTTTCAACCACCAATATGAACTATCAAAATATCTGTAAGATGTAAAGTTCTCTGCTCTTCAAATAAAGAACATTACATAACACAATAAGGTATATATAACCCATACCCTAACAAAACAAGACAAATAAATAAGACCTGCGCTTACTACAGAGATTTCCTTTGCTTGGACGATGGTCCTGGTAACAGTCGGTAGTAATGTAACTGAAATTCTGCAAGTCATTAACCCACAAAACTTTCAATATAAATTCACATCACACTTCAATCCACTTCGTCAACCTACAACTCTTTCTCTCTCGATCCTCTCGGTGTAGGTCGTGTAGGTGCTGTAGGTATAACAGCAAATACATCCCTCCCTCAACCAATCTAAATTTCCCGTCAAAGAAAGGAGGGGGAAGATAAAAAAAGAATTTTTGACTGTTAAGTGATTTTGAACTCCATTAATCAGTTATTTCACATGTCCGAATTTTTCTGTACAAATTTTTGACGTCGATATTCCATACGACTACGGTATATAATACCACGGATCACGACATACCATAGCTGCCTAGGACACCCTAGGCTCCCATTGCCAGTATTTCCGTGGACGACAGGTACCTTGCTTTTTTTTCTCTCTTATTCAATCTCGCGGTTTCTCACCGCTTTCAGTATTCAAAATGTTCAAAATGCTCCATGCCGATTAGTGGGGTGTGATATTTGATTGAGGTTATATTGTACAAAGTTCGATTACTTTCGTCCGAAAAAGAAGGTATGCGATTTATTTTTCTCTGAATATCAATAAATCTAATGTTATGGTAGAGACTTTCAATGCTCTAATATTACTGTGATGTTTAGTTTGCTATTGCAGAGTATCAACCAAAGGTGAACAGAGGAGTTATTTTAAAGCGTATGAATGTCTAGTTCATCATTTCAATTCTGGTGGTTATTCTCAGTGTTCGTAGGGTCTGATGAATGTAGTTAAAGTGTAATATAAACTTTGGGTCCCTGAAACGTAACTTGTTATTGCTTTTACAGGACGAAACCGAACAAGTGAGTAGGAGAAGTTCCGTGCAATCTAGGAAGAAGATGTGCTGGAAGACTCACTAACTATCCATGTATGCACAGACATGATGAGTATGTAGCCGTTCATAGTGTTCATATAAGCCACAGCAAAATTAATGCATTTGCTCAGCTGTCAGCAAGCAGTATGGGATTCAACATCTCTCTTGAAGTACTCCAAGTGAGATGCATTTGACTGTGATTTTTCACCATAAGAGAATATGAACTTCAGTTGTTAGAATTAGACTTTGTGTACATTCCATAGATCCTTTATGAAACACACCTGAGGATGGACTTGTAATAAAAATTCAGAATTTAGAACTATGTAAGGTCATAGTTCTTCCAGTTAATTACAGATTTTTTATAAGTATGTTAAGCTCATACATTATAGAACAGAATAACTCTCTTCATTAAGTTCTTTCTAATACATAATCATTTTTGATGAAAGTCCCACAAACCAAAGTTCAGAGAAGTTTTGACCCTCTAAACTGAACTTGATAAATCTGGGAACAGCTAGAGGACAGACTGTAGCCACTCTGGTGCCCAGGGAGGGGCGAGAGCATTGGGCCAGTCTTGTTCCCAATTTTCTGGAGTAATGGCTTTGGACAGCCCTGTTACAGGTTTAATGTGGAGTCTCCACCCACAGATCTTCATGTCTGATGTTGCAGCACATACTCAGATGTGTTGTTACACCTCCATGGTACAGTTCTTCAGCTGCTGAACAAATTGCCTGTGGTTATTTTTTATCTCCACAATCACAAACCTCAAATTAAACAGTTTGCTTGCAGACTGCAGGCCATGGAGCAGACAGTCACAAAATCATGCACCAGTCAAACCCACTTCATCTGAGCACAGTAGTTATTGTGATTTTCACCCTGATTTAAGATTCCAGAACGCTTACATTATCCCGATGATGGTGATGGGATTCGAGAGGTTAGCTGAGCGGGAGACTGTTCCTCGTAGTATGTTGGACACTTAAGGATTGAAATCCAAGTCGAACTCACAGTACGATACAGTGAATATATTTAATATAAATGGTGTTGATACAGATGTTGTACAGAGATCAAGAATACTGCATGAATAGAAGTTTATGAAGTCCCTATGACGGTGCACAGAGACTTAGTGCAGTGTATGAACTGAAATCTATGATGTTTGCTCCGCGCCCCAAAACGTGGTCTTTTAAAGGGGCTAGGACGGGCGTTGGCTGGCAGTCACATGCCTTGGTCCATGTTCTCTAGTCGACAAACAAGTGTTGCATCATGTGTGTTTGTCTCAACTAGGATTCTCTATCTTATAATTATAACGTCCTGTCTATACAGTCAGACAAAATCATATACATGTTTAAAGTAATATATATGTATGTTAGGAGGTGCATATATTACAACAGTGTATTTGTGGGTTTCATGTGGTTCCTAAGTAAATATTGATTATTCCCTTTGGTGGCATTAACTGGTTGGCTTGTAATGGAGATGCTGTGTTTCATGTGTGGTAAGAAACTTAATTTTTTTAATATTTAGATGAATTTTGGACTCCAGGGTACACGTATTATCCTCATGTGTATATAAGTTTCCAATTAAAATTTTGTGTGTACTTCTTGTTTCCACACTCTTACATGTCATCAACTGATGTAATGCTCCACATTTCCTGCAGGGTTAACATGAAGCTTCTATACTGTGGTTACAATGGATTTGGGCAGTGTCCCACAACGAGAGCCAGTACTTTGCCCCAGCTAACTGAATTCCCTGTGACTGGTGTGAAGGAGGTGTCTCTGGCTTGGAGCTGCATGGTTGTATTAACAGGTGAACAAATTGGAGTAGTAGTAGTAGTAGTAGTAGTAGTCTTTATTTCCATAAATCCAATACTGGAAATACATTCAGAGGATGTGGAAAAGTCAAACAAAACACATAAATAAAAGCAGTACACGGTACCAAGTCAATATACAGATATGTTAAATAATACTACTGAGATCATAAAAAACATAATGAGTATCAATTCAACCCTTCCTATCAAAAATACTCAAAATACACTTCCAAATATATAAAAGAAACAACAATAAAATGCAGCACAATGCTTATCATACAGATATAATAAAATAATACAACTAAAACTCATGAGTATGATCAGTGTCAAAATTACCCTAACTAAAATACACAAAATACTCTTCCAAGGTATAAAATGAGTGATTATACAAAAATTCCTTTATCTTTAATTTAAATTGTTTGACATCTCTGTATAATTGTTTCAGGTTTAATGGAAGACTATTGAATAATTTAATGCCCATATAATACGAGCCTCTCTGGTATAATGATAAATGAGTTGAAGGTTGATAAAGATTAAGGTTAAAACCCTGTCTAGTGTCTCTGTTATGTACATCAGATACAAATTGATACTGTAGCAGTAACAGTAGGTTTGTGCTTGGGAGGTAATTGGTTTGAATCTTGAGTGGATCACAAACTCCCCTGAATGAGACTTTTATGGTTTCCTCAGTTGCTCTATGCAAATGCTGGAGTAAATACCTCAATCAGATCATGACTTCTTCTGTTTCCATCCTTTCAAATTCATCACTGGTCAGTCATCGACCATATGATCCTCTGTATAGTCTAGATACTGACAGTGCCATAAAAAGTAAACCACAGACCAAACTAAATGACAGGATCTTGACTGGCTGATCATATAAAATGATTGTTCAGCAGCCCTTTGACATTATCGTGAGAAAGTTCAGTGCATTTGACATCCCCACAACTTGTTTACCTATAGTTCAGTTTAATATTGTCATCTCATTGCCTTGTTGGTCTTCCAGCTGAACTCCTCCACTATCAAACCTGTGTGTTCGCTTCTTTTTTTTTCATATAGGTTAACCTTTAGACATTCACCAATCCATCAAGTTTCACAAACATCAGGAATTTGCTTTTGAAGTTATACAGTTTTACCCTGTCACAGATTCTGGGGTCCGTGTGTCTGGGTTTGTTGGAGGTGAGCCACACCAACTGAAGCAGCTCACCCTACCAGATGCACAGCAACCTCAGCAGGTGAGTGGACTTATAAGTAGAGCTTCAGGACTGGGTTGGAAGTGAACTGCTTACAGCATATTAATGAAATGTTATCCAGAGATCAGAGCTGGGATCTTAGAACATGGCAGTGAATGTTTGGGTTTTATAAATGGATAGGAAATTCTTGACTAGCTTGAGCCGAGTATATGTCTCATCATGTACTTATGCACCCATGGTGAATGGGTCTCTTCCTTCTGGCTCAGTTTCTTATTCCCCTTGCCTTGTACACTATTCATTGAGGACATTCACTCTGTTCCAACAATACCTTCAACCATCAAAATTAGGTGTGGAGCCAAAGCTCTGTTTGGACCTTGCCATTTTAAATTCTGTTTGACTAAATGTTTCATCATTTGCCTCTGCACCACAGTTTTGAATAGGTGAGATGTGAAAGCTGGTATCACTGTCTTTGTAACTGCACAAGATGGAATGCTTTGCTGCTGTGTCATGCATAGAGGAGGTGTATGAGATTCCTTGTTGCATAGATACCACCAGGATTTTTTCTGTGGGGATCTAGAAAATTTGCTTACAACATATGTTTAAGCTGTTTGTGAATACTTTTACTGATCACCCTTGAGTTGTAAGCCTCTGAATTGGAGTATAAGAGGCACAATGAAGTGTGCTGAAGATCATTTGGGGGAAACAGTTGCCATGCTTGCCCTTTTAGGAGCCGAAATGTTCATTAACGTGTGTACAGGAGTCAGCCACTGGTCCCATGTTCAAAGCCAGATCAATCCAGTCCACTTTCACACCATCTTTCCTTTATATCCACTGAAATGTTATACAGCTAGGTCATGAATAATGTGATATTCAATTTAATGTGAATTGTACAATGATACCAGGTTGCGTTTAATGCATATCAAAATTCAGTTAATGTGAGGCTAGCGCATGGGCATTTGAGGTTATCGTTAAGGTTTTAGGTGTTTCTGCTTTAGTCTGCACTTGTTAATCTTCGCATGTGCATGTGCTGCCACCTCTCATAATATATGTTACTTTCTGTGATTTGTTTTAATCGTTTTAAGAAGTACCCTTAACGAAATGGACGAAAGGAAGATTCCTTCAGATAAAAACGCTATGAGTGCCAAAAAACAAGGTTTATTATTACATTAGAGCAAAAGTTTGATGTGATTGAAGGACATGAACATGGTCATAGCAACTCTAAAAACTAGGACAGGATGTCAGAATGCCTGAATCTATTGTATGGAAATATTGTAAAGCACACAGGGAAAAGTTGCATCAGGTTTTTGTGGTTTTCAAACATCTACAAGGGACAGAAAAGTGTTACAGTGATAGAAATAGAGCATCTTTTAACTGTATGGATTGACTATTGCAATCAAAAATGCATTTGCTCTAGCAGAGACTGAAAGAAGAATAATGGAGTAAAAGAAATGTTTAATGCAAGTGTTGGTTGGTTTGATTGATTTAAAAATTGAGTTCAGCTGCATAATGTTAAAATTACCAGTGAGGCTGCCAGTGCAAACGAGGATGCAGCATCTGTATATCCTGATGTTCTAAAAAACAATCAAAGATGGTGGATACACTGATCAACAAATATTTAATGTGGATGAAACTGGTTTATTCTGGAAAATGATGCCTACCAGAACTTACATTTCTAAGAAAGAAAAACTCAACCTAGATTTAAAGTGTCTAAAGATCGCCAAACACTTTAAATGGTAGCCAGTGCTCAAGGCAATTTTAAATTGAAATCAATCAGTTCTAGTTTATTGGTCTCTAAATCCTTGTGCTCTGAAAGGCTACAACCATAGATCACTTCCAGATATTTGGTGATTAAATAAGAGTGCATGGGTGGCCCAAGCAGTATTTAATGACTGGTTTTCAAGCAATTTTTGTCCAGCTGTTGAAAAATATTGCAAGGAAAGCAACATCACATTTAAAGTACTACGGATTTCAGATAATGCTCCAAGTCATCCAACTACACTCAGTTCATTGTGTGAAAATGTAAAAATCATTCCTTTTTTCACCAAATACATCTTCGTTGCAGCCTCATGGATCAAGGGACTGTTGCCTACTGCATAAGAGAAACATTTGAACAGGCAGTTGCTAAAAACTAGAGGAGACAATACAATTTCCTTAACAGAGTTCTGGAAAGTTATAACATCAGACATGGAATAGAAAATATTCACCATGTTTGGCAGCAGATAACTGAAAACAACATGCGTGGAGTGTGGAACCATAGTTTGCCTCATTGTGCAAATAGTAGTGATTTTGAAGAAGAAACTGTTGTAGAAGAAATAACAATGTTCAGTAAGTGCTCAGGTCACTCATGCTCGGAAGAATTGCTTGATGATCTCCTACTTTTAGATCAGCAAAGAACATTTGAAGAAGCCGACAGTGATGCCGAAGAGTGAGAGTAGGGAGCAAGTGAAGGAGTTCACTCTCAAGGAATTTGAAGATATCTTCTAAGTTGAAGTCGTGAAGCAAAAAATTATGGACGCTGGCCCTGACCTTGATCATAGCATGCAAATTCGCTGAGATGTGGATAAAGCACTCTGCATCTACCAGCATATGTATGAAGATTTAAAGAAGAGAAAACAGTTCAGTCTATGCTGCTAAAATATTTCAAAAGACAATAAGGTGTTTCTTGTCTGTGTAAGCTTACCTTTAGGAATGATATTGAGAATTTCATTGTTTCTATTTTACTCTCTGTATGAGTATGAGGGGTGGGCCATAAAAACTGGCCCTCGCACCGCAACCTTCAATGATCTATTTTTACTCTCTATAACTATAGTAAATTTAATGAGAGTACATTCATTTTATCCTTTACTGTAATACTTTGTTATTAAACATATAAAACTTACGTTTAAAATTTATCATTGCCTGTGTCCGTCATGTTAACCAATTACCATATTTTACATTAATTATAACTTTGAATAGTGCGAGTTTGAATAATGTGACCACTTCATGGGATTCATTATCCGCGTTAACGGAGAACTACCTGCCTGTATACATTCACCATCTGTCCCACATGTTCTCTATGCTCTGCTGTTAACCTCCTCTTCATTTGATTAGCCTGACTGTTGAAACATGCAACTTACGAAGCTCCTAATTGTGTAATTTTGTCCATTCTTCTGTTACTTCTGTCTTCTCAGCACCCTGTTCTCAAATTCTACCCAGTTTGTATTCATCCCTTGGGGTGGATGAGAGACCAAATTTCACAACCATACAAAAGAACAGGTACAATTTTAACCTGTATGCATTTAGGTAGCAGGTGGGTAAACAAAATTCAGAGCAAGTGGTAGTAAGTATTCTTAATATTTAATCTGCCTTTAATTTATTTGGAATGTAATTTTTTGATTTCCTGTCATTCCCAAATGTTTGAACTTCAGCACATTGCTAGGATATCGTTAATGATTTTGTCCTTGTGACAGAACATGAATATGTACTTAATTTTCTCTCTTTGCCCTACTAGTGTCTGGTAGAAATGCCAGAACATTTTGTGTAGCCACTGTTGATTTGAACATTGTATCGAGACAGCCACCATTTTGATTTGTGGATCTTAGTGTTTGATTACAAATGTTATTTGCTTCCTTCACAAAGCTGTCATGTTCCCAGCGACATGTGCTGGTTACAGTGCCATCTGGTGACTGCTGGAAGTTCTGCATTAAGAATAGTTCATGGAGGAGACTTGACCATTTCACAAGGGTGGAGAGGGAGCTAAAGCATGAGGACTCTGGGGCAGACCCAATTGTGAGGGTGTGTTGTGGTTCCACGTTTGATGTAGCTTTGTCTGAATCAGGTAAGGACAAATGCTGCCTGACATTGAGAGCAGGGCATTGCTTAGGAGACGTCTGAAAACATCTACAGATTATTTAATTGTAATGGGATGATGGGTTGTAATATAGTAAATAGGTGCCAGTGTGCTAGAGGTGCCTACTGCCTCTATTTTCAATGATTATCCTGAAGATGGGAGCAGGTTCCAGTGGCATCACATCCAAGAATATTATAATACATGGGACTCATGGCTTGTGTTGCAGGACGTGCATTTGTGCTGCCCTCGCCAATATACCACCCTGGAGTAAGAGTGACACAAGTGGCTTGTGGCAATGAACATTGTCTGCTGCTGACTGAGACAGGACAGGTGTTCAGCTGGGGAATAGGCAGGTATGAAGGTGTGTTGTGATGTAAGGATCACCTGGTCCAGTCCCAGAAAGCCACAGTCTTGCCTGCACAGTGACTTGTATGTACATTTAGCAGGCCTGTGCTGTTTCAGTCGAGGTCAGCTGGGTCATGGTGGCCTCGAGAATGAGCAGGAGATTGCTCGACAGGTAGATTCATTGGCAGGCCTGCATGTGATGCTGGTGGCAGCAGGTGGCTGGCATTCATCAGCTGTCACAGAGTGCAGTGACCTCTATACATGGGGATGGAACCAGTCAGGACAACTTGGCTTCTGCACTGGCAAGGTGATACAGTTTCATTGTCTTAACAGCAAACATTCTCAAGATTTGAAGCTTTCACAGTGGCTAAAAATCTTCTAGGGCTATCAGCCATGTCACTCAGTTAAAAATTACCAACATTTCCGGGACCATCTGTGATTTACTGAGCTGACATGGCCACAGACCAAGAAGATTTTATCAGACATTCTCAAGTTGACTTTGGTAACAAAGTCTTCCCCATGCATTGTTACAGAACACTGTTAGAGCTAAGCAGGAGCAAACAGCAGGTCCCAAAAAGCTAAAAACTGAGTACACGGATGATGTCACCATTCTGAGCACCCCACTGCCTGTCATCTGGCCACTGGAACAAGAAGTGAATGTGAAAGATGTTGGCTGTGGCAGTAGACACACCATTGCACTTCTGGGTGAGAAGGTTCATGTTTCTACAGCCTGTTCCCATTCCTTGAAGGCCTGCACAGGCCTGTGAGAACACTTTCCCCACACATCCCACGCATTGGCACTCAGAAAAGTGCCATTACCTGAAAAAAACTGGTACTTTTCATTCATCAGTCAGTTCCAGTTCCACCCTAAGAACAACAATAGATCACTGGAAAAGCCATTTTTTCTGTCACTTCCCACCTTGATGATAAACTCATGTTCCTCTTATAAAGACTGTTTTTTGAAGGGGGGTTTTCCATTTCTACTCATCGGCTAGGTTGGTTTTTATGACCACAATCTGCGCTACTTCCTCATACAATCAAGTATATTTCTGAACTCACACATTTCAATCCTGAAGACTGGGGGGCATGTTCCTCTGAAATGTTGGTATATGCCCACGAAACTACAGTGTCACTACAAAGAAGACCACAGTTTTCACAATAGTCTTTTATGTATGTTTCACTGAATAATCGAGCCTTGGACTATAGACTGGATGTTTGGGGTTTGAGCCATGGTTGTGGCGTCTGGATGCTTGTCTGAAATTAATTCAGTTATAAGGATTTTCAGAGGTTGTAGGATCTCTTCTAGGCTATAATTTGGAGGGGAGTCTGTGTTAAGAAGATTCACATATTAACCAAATCATGATCTCCCTGCAACATCATTGTTGTGGGAGTGTTGTTAATATTTCGTGTCTTGCTGGCAGATGATGGTACGGTTTGGGGCTGTGGTTGGAATGCTTATGGGCAGCTTGGGATGTCCCCAGAACGGGTACCGAGTACGTGGAAGATTACGAGGATAGAGTTGCCAGATGGCAATTCTGGAGTAGTGACAGGCATTGAATGTGGGGCCTGGAGCACCGTAGTGTTTCTGGCATAACACAGAGAACTGAGCCTTTCCAACAGCTCCAGCACTAGCAAGTTTGTGTTTTCCTTCCCAAATTGTTGAGAATCCCAAGACATTCATTGAAACAGTCTTCACCTTACAAGTCACAACAATGAAGAATTGTGTACTAGTAATTCTTTGCATGAGTGGACTTAACTGACACTAAAGACATATTATTTATACCTATACAGAAAATAAATTGCCTTTGGAAAAAGACAGGTGTAATTTTATTTGTGCAGTATAGTGTAATTAATGTTGGATTTTAGGTTTCCATGGAAGTGACTGTGAGGAGTGCACTCCTATGGGCTGTAACACCGTGTAGTTCAGAGGAACATGTCTCCTCCATCTTCAAGGTTGAAGAGTAAGCCAAGCAAGAAACAAGCAGAAGCAAGCAGCGAGCCAAGCTCTGTCTGAACTAAACTACATGGTATTATTCAATTATATGTACACCGTCAATAATGCAACACTGATATTTAAAATAAATAAAATAAAAGACACCTAAACCATGTTCATTAAAAGTGTAGTTTTTACACTTTGAAATGTTATAAAATGTCATTAAGAAGACACTACATGTATATCGTTTACACTAAAAGTGGCTGTTAAATACTTTAGAATGTCTTAATTTATATCATATGTTCTTCTAATTTGCAACTTGTTTTGGCCACACATGGGCCATCATCAGGCAAACTTTTGATTGGTGAGGAGACCACTGTACTGTTCACTTATCTTCCATGCTCTGCAGCATGTCTTTTGTTGTTGTTGTGTTACATATCTAGACCTCCGTAATTGTATTCCTTCTGTGGCTATCACAGTTTTGTATGTTGTTTTCTCTTGTATGTTTGTCTTTAGTGCATCTTCTTGTATATGAGAAACAACATACAAAACTGTGATAGCCACAGAAAGAATACAATGACGGAGTTCTAGATATGTGACACAACAACAAGAAAAAAATGACGATGTGCCAAAAAGCACGGAAGACAAGCGAACAGTTCAGTGGTCTACTCACCAATTAAAAGTTTGCCTGATTTTGGCCCATGTGTGGCTGAAACACGTTGCAAATTATAAGGACATATGATATAAATTAAAGACATTCTAAAGTATTTATAGTCATTTTTAGTGTAAAGATATACATGTAGTGTCTTAATGACATTTTATAACATTTAATAACATTTCACAGTATAAAAACTACACTTTTAATGAAGAACATGGTTTAGGTGTCTTTTTATTTTATTTACTTTAAATATCATTGTTGCATTATTGACGGTATACATATAATTGAATAATACCTCAATGCAACAGGATGCTGAAATATAATATAAACTACAGTGTGTTACAACCCAGAAGATCATACTGCTCAATAAATACAATGTAATGTTTTGTTCTCTTTGGTGAGTTTTGGCTTATATATATATATATATATATATATTGGCTATTCGCAGAACTGATGTTCCAGTGCAGTTGAGTTTCAGACTCATGGATAGCATTTCTTAGAGTACTGGTCAAGTGCCAAATAACAGCACGTACAGCTTCAAGCTGAGTCTGGCTACCAGGTTTCAAAAGCATCTGTATATTGTATTTTATGATTTGTCAAGCTATGGGTTCACAGCCTATATATAATGGGAAGCTGCAAAGTTCTCAAGAGTTATTTACAATATAGATGTATCACTGCAGTGTTTCAATCTTACCTCCAATATAGGAGGCAAAGAGTGGAATTAAATTATATAAATAATAAATATTATTCTAACCGGGAAATTGTTGGATGGGGTGTGCCTCAGGGATCAGTGTTGGGACCCTTACTCTTTAATATATACATAAACGATTTCCCCCTTGAAATAAGTAAAATTTCGGAAGTTATTATGTTTGCAGATGACACAAGTATTCCTTGCACAGCTAAAGACTACTGTAATTTAAAAATAAAATTGGATGTTGTTTTTAATCACATGTTTACGTACTTTCAGAATAATCAATTAGTGTTAAATCTGGATAAAACAGAAATGATAAAATTCACCCGAACAGCAGCTATGAGCTACCCTCTGTGTACATTCTTTTTTAACAAAAAGCTGAAAGAAGTAGAAACGATAACATTTCTCGGTCTGCAGCTGGACAATCATCTGACTTGTAAGGGACATATCAATTTTTTGCTTCACAAGTTGACACAGTTTGTTTTCTAATGCCAAAATTATCCTATATATTAAATATAAATAGTCATGAAGCTGGATATTATGCATATTATCATCCATTGGTGAAATATGGAATAATATATTGGGGAAATACATCAGACAGTCATAAGGTCTTTGTTATACAAAAGAAAATAATAAGAATGATGATGGGAGTGGGCCCAACTCATACATGTAGAGATTTATTTAAAAAGCTTGACATATACCAACCCCATGTGTATACAAGTATTTGCTCTAATTTATGATATTTGTTGTTAATAATTTGGATAAGTTTCAAACCAATGAATCTGTCTATGTCATTGGTACCAGAAGGAATGACCACCTTCAACACATCTATCATCCTATCAGAGAGGGGTGTATTATTCAGGCATCAAGCTATTTAACACTCTGCTGTCAAATATCACAGTTTTAAAAAGTGATAAAAAGCAATTTAGGTTTGTTTTACAAAATTATTTGCAAAGTAACGTATTTTACTCTTTTGATGAATCTGTCGAGCATGAAAGGGGCTCAGAAGTTAAGAGTTAATAAATGGTCTGTGTGCGTGAATTACATACTGTTGAGACTTGCTTGTTGTAAGTGTAGTAGTATGTATGATGTGTGTTTTTGTTATGAATTTTAATATTTTATAATATAACTGTTTTAATGATACGGCTTGCCAGTGTGTGTGGAATGGCACGGTGTGAATTTGATAGTGGTTTTACCACAACCCGTATGTGTTGTCCTGGCAACTTGAGCTATCTGTGAGAGGCCTGATTATATATTTTATTGGACAAAGGTCAAATGATGTGTAGTCATCATGAATTTATAATATGTGACATGTTTTATATCCAGCCCTTCGAGGAGATGATTGGATCCATGAAGTGAAAATAAATGTAAAGATGTAAAGATGCACATTTTTGGCAGGTTGGTAAGATTTCACGTAGATAGTTGCTTTTGGGGAATGTAGCTGCAGTTGACAGGCACTACCAAATAAATGAACGGTAGGATGGCTGATGAATTTGAAAGGATTTGGAAGGAAGCAGTCATGGCATTTACCTGGAGGGACTGATGAAAACCACAAAAAACTCAGTAAAGGTAGCTGGTGTGTCTTGCTTGAGATTCAAACTGAATGCTTTCTGACTTAGATCTTCACCTCCTGGCTAGCTATGACCAAGCTAAGCTCCTAAATTGGACAGTGACAAGGGTAATAACCTAAACTAGGTCATGACCAAGACAGTGCTCTAAATTGGGCCATGGCTGGAACATTGTCTTATATTGGGACCATGAAAATGATAGATGGTACATGTTGTGTAAACAGGAGCCCTGTGCTTTTTAAAGCTGACACAGTATCATTACTTGGTTAGAGTAAGGGAAGATGGACTGTGAAATTACAAAATATATATATAAAATTTGGTGGGGATGTTTCATGAAAAGCAAAAAAAATTGGCTCAGAATCATATCCAGTTATGAGATTTAATGTTAGCAGCAAGAATATCTATTAGATAGATGGTTGAAAGTTTCCCTACACTGCCCAATAAACAATATTGTGAAACAGAACTATCTAGCCCTTATACACACACAATATTACGCAAGAAGCATACTGCACATGTGGCCAGTATGCCCAAGCTGAAGACAAGATTCAACTGTATAGCAACTGAAATAAGTCATTAGTTAGTTAGTTAGTTATTGGAGAGGGTGGGTTTCCCCATGCACTTAGACCTGTATTGGTCCACTGTGCTTCCCTGTATGATTTCTACCAGTCTCTATATCCTACCGGTACTGGTGCTTACCATCAGTCCCACCCAGCCAGCGAGACCAGCTCTACTAGCTGAGAGGTATCTATAATGCTTTCCCCATCTACCAGAGGTATTACAGACTACTGTTGGGCGGGAAACGTCCGTAAATGTGGCTCAGTGACCTCCTTTGGAGATATGAAGTTCTTTTACGTGCAGTAAAGCTACGACACGGGACCCATAGCTTAAAGTCCGTCCTGGAGGACTTGTTCCCTGAATTTTTCCGCCCTTAAAAATTCGACGACTCTGCTGGGTATTTGAACCTGCGTACTACGAGTCATGAGGTGGGAACGTTACCTCTAGACTACGGAGGCCGCTAAATAAGTCATTAAGTAAATAGTCACAAATCTATGTGTAGAGAATAAAGTGAAGAAAATCAGAAGGAATTGAAACTGAATGGGACACATCACCATCCCATCCATCAAAGAAAATGTCTTCTGGGCAAAAACATAAATATCATAGGCAAAACTCAGAAGCTACCGAGTTGGTTAAAAAGTGAGCTCAGAGAAAACCAGACACATACATATATATATATGTTTCATCAACAGAATGCAGGCCAAAGCCATAATTTAATATAGAGAATACTTATTTATTCCTACCAACACAACACTATATTCAGCAGATGGAGTTGCTGTCTAGGATGATGTGTTTCACCACGTGTACCATCCTCAGGTTCGGTTTTTAGTTACTGTACACTTAGTGTACCATGCTCTTTGCATGAATTCGCATATAACCAATACGCTGAAACAGTGGAACAAAGGAAATGTGTTCAGTGCCACACATTCACATAAAGCATTAAAATCTGCAACTTCAACAAAGATCTAAAATGTTAGACCAAAACAAGTAAAAAGCAAGCACATTACAATATATAATATTGTCAAGTGTATCAGCGACTAAAGATGGGGTTCGGATTGGTAATTGGATTTATTGTATACTAACAGGTCATAACTACAAATAATTATAATACTGTTACTCCACTCTGCGCTAATCTCTTCGGTCTATATCCATGAATTTTCATGGATTTATAACACAGGATCTATAAATCACACTTCCAGTACTGCTGCACTCTAGCACATATAAAGTCTTCAAAGTGCACACTAAATCTTCACAGGCTGACTTCCTGTAGTCATCTGCACTCCTCGAGCTTAAAGCTTGTTTGCTTGCTTCTGCTGTTGCTACTACTCATAACTGCCCTGAACCGTCCTCGACTTTTACTTATATAGCTGCGGAATGGACATGCATCATGGGAAACACGTCACATGGACATACAGCAAACGCATGTCACGTGACCACTACATACTGTTATGAGACATCACTGTGGAAATGGGAAAACACAGCTTCCTCTTAATTTGATTTATTCCTCTATTGTTGCATGTTGAACCATGTTTACAGAGCTGTTGCCTGGCAACGCATTGATCACTGGTGGATCCACTCTGCTTACATGTAAATTTATGCTAATTACATCATACATTGTAACTAAAGCAGGACCTGAAGATGGCACACGTGTACTGAAACATGATGTCCTAGACAGCAACTCCATTTGCTGAAAATAGTGCTATGTTAACAGGAATAAAATAAATATTACCTATAGTGATTTACATAACAGGATGCAACAAAATATGAATAATTCAATGTATAGCTAATAAAGTCTTCAAAAGTGTATCCAAGTTGAAGTATTTAGAATGGCAGGGTCAAATCAAAATTATCTTCACACAGAAACTGAGAGCTGATTAAATGTGTCACATGCCTATTATTATTCAGTTCAGAATCTTCAGTCTTCTTAGTGTTCCTCTTTAAAAACTTAAAGATTAAAAAGAGCAAAACTATAATATTACCTGACTTACTCCAGATGATGCAGAGATCATGAATGATGGATATATATTTCCACTCCCTCATGTGTCTTCATCACACAGCACTTAATTAATTAAGCACAAGGACAACTCTAGCTTTAACTTTTAAAACATTACCTATTTCTTGAATAGGTGTGAAACCTGGCCCCAATAAGGAAGAAATATAATAAGGTTGGAGACATTAGGATCAGAGTGCTGAGAACATATGGACCCAAGATGAAGTAACAGGAGGATGCTTCTATAAATTACACAATAAGGAACTTCACAATTTGTACTCTTTATCAAATATTATTAGAATGATCAAATTAAGTAAGATGGGTTAAACAATGTATAACACATGGAAGAGGTGAGAAATGCATACAGAATTTAAGTTGGAAGCCTGAATGTGACAACTTTGGAGATTGAAATGTAGAAGGGAAAATACCAGAATGAACATTAAACAAATAGGATATAAGGGCATTGAATGGACTCATCTGGCTCAACATGCAGACCAATGGTGGGCTCTTGTGAACATAGTAATGAACCTTTGTTTTCCACAAATAGTGGAGAATGTTTTGACCAGGTAAGCAACAGCGAA